AGTTTGCTGAATCTGACGTGACATGTTCGTACGAACCCTTCGTACGAACAAAAGTAAGAGAAATTTAGGACAAGAATACGAACATGTTCTTGCATGAGGCCCATTCTTTTATAAATCTGACCCCTGGGCATTACCTTAATGTCTGGAATGATGCGCAGGAAGCGAAACACGATCAGCATGTTGACCAAGCGGATCATCTCCCACAGAGACAGTGCACCGCGAGAAGAGGGGTCCCTGTGATCCCACACACAAACACACATATATGTTTTTCTACCTTCACAGGGACTTTCACGGTCACAGTGGTCCCCACAAGGTTGTGTATTTTGAAACAATGGGCCTTACAGGATAACAAATGCCAGAACACACTGATGTGGTGAATTCTCAAACGGATGATATTAATTTAATGTATGTGTAAAAATCTAGGCATTAGAGTGAAGATAAGAGTTAAAAGCATGCAAACCTACCAGGGTGAATAGGGAAGCCTGTAGCTGATAAATATGGAGATCTGAAGGACCTAATGGAAAACAAAATACAAAAACATCAGTGGTCAAATTAAACTGTTTTAAATCAACTATGCTTTGAATTGAACATAATAAATATTACAAAATGCATACAGCTGATTTTTAAACTAATACTTTTATAACAACCAATTGCTTGAGGGGTTAGTGTTACAGTAAATTACAAACGGATGTAATACTGTATTGTAATAAAGCTACACTCCTGGTGCGTTTCAGGAGATGTGCCAAATGGAGTAAGTGATGGTTTGACAGCAGAGAAACCGACGGGTGCAGCTGAAGCTGTCTTACCAACAACAGAAGAGTGAGAAAACCATCAAAGATGTTGTTCCTGTACGACAGGTAACCTCTCCACCCAAAGGCAAAGATCTTGGCAGACATTTCAAACAGGTAGTAGAGGATGAAGCACAAGTTGGTGACCTGGAAGTGAGGCAAGGGAAAATATATTCATCCAGAAAATTCAGTTTATCTGATTTGTTTTACGGTTTTATTTGTTGAAACTGTTCGGATGTTGTGCTTGTCTTCACCTCTAAGACGTAGTTGTCTCTCTCTGCTGTTGACTTCTCAGAATTCAACACCAGGATCGTCTGGAACACAACAGCATTGCATCACACACACAGGGTAGCATGCTTCTGTAGGTGTGTGTGTGTGTGTGTGTGTGTGTGAGACTTACACAGATGCACATGACATTAGCGAGTGCCACTGCGTTACCAAGCACAGTGAGGTAGTAGTGACTGAAGACCACCTGCAGCCTCTGCAGGACTGGTGACGAGTACTGAGGAAGAGGAGGGTGCTGAAGCGAACATAGACACACACACATGAGACACACCGAACTGCTGTCACAGAAAACACGTTCAGCTGGGTGGAGCTATGGAGTGAGAGCACTGCGTCACCTCTTTAATACAATCTTTATCCAGTTCATCAAAAATGTGCTTAAACTGCTGCCGATCCACGTAGCCCACGTCTGCGTAGCGCTGCGCCTCCTGACGTGGAGGGGGTGCAGAAGAGAGCATCACAGAAAGATCAAATCTGTCACACAGTGGAGCGGTGTGGGTTTGTACAGGACAGGAAGACGGGTTTTTGTGACGCCTCCTGGGTAAAGCTAACAGAACAGTCTGGACCCGGTGTTGCTAATTAGTCGCTCTTTGTGCTTTTACAGGAATTACAGAAAAAAATGATGCATAGAAGGTGAAACACTGAGAGGTAGACAACTGACTTTTAGAAGAATTAATAAAACTACATTCTTGTACTAAATCACACCTGAACCACAGGCAGATGGCGCTAAGAACAAAAACATTCTGATCTGATTGATTAGGGCACATTCAGAGGAAGTCTACACATTTTGACAGCACTGTTTACCAAATTCAAATCTAAAACTGTAAACAGACCTTTTATTGACCTAAATGATGTAATCTGTCAAATTATAATGGAGAAATAATCTTTGGGCCTAAGCTTTACTAAACACAGTTATTAGAAAAGTTCTTACGTTTTTGCACATGCAAATATTTACATCTGTGTATTTAAACATCGACGGTGATGTAAAGCTTTATGAAAYAGCATCTGAGTGAACTGCTATGAAAATCTGGTAGCGACTCATTTTAGTTTTAGATGCATTCTGACCAG